TGCCGTTTGGCTACCTATGATGAAACCGAAATACCCCTCGACGCCATCCACATCTGTCACTCGCCTCAGTATCACGCAACCCCGCTTTCACCCTGTCCTTCTCCACCTGCTCTCTCCATCCCAATCGCGGACGACCCCTTCCTACCACTCCTTCAACCTCGAACTCCAACGCTCGCCTAATCCCGACCCTTTCATCCCTTCTCAACACATGTCCATACCACCGCAATCTCGATCTCCTTATCAATGTCACAATGTCCTCATTCAGTCCCATCATTGACATCAGCTCTGTACTACTCCTCCTATCCTTCACTTTAACCCCACACATCATCCTCACCATAGCTCTTTCAGCCCTCTCTCCTCAACACCCAAGTTTCACCACCATATACCATCGCTGCTCTCACACATGCTTTATATACCCTCCCTTTCATCTTCACTGACCATTTTGTGTTTGGTATGTGTGTTAAGATGTTTGTATTTGTTTGCATGTGTTAAATCAATTTGTTGTATGCTTAAACGTTTGGATCATGATGTGGTGATTTTTTCCAATTAGATAACACTGCAGCTCCAACACACAGACAACATATGAGATGGAAAGATTGAAAGAACTGAAGAGAGAGGTAGCTGCACAAGAACAGAAGTTGAAATCGCTACAACAGCAACAACTTAATTTGAAACAACGACAAATTGGGCAGCAGCAACAGCCGCAACAGCCACAGCCACAACAACTACAAGAGCAGCTGGAACAACAACAACAGAATTGTTCAGGTATTGACAACAACAACAACCACAGCAACTTAAATGTTAAAGAAGGTTCGATTGTCTCAGGTTTGTTAAACCTCTATAGTTATATATAATATAATTATATATAATATAATTATATATAATATTATATAATTATAACAATTATTCATTATTTTCCTGTTTATTTTATGCATTACCTGCAATGCTGTCTGACACCTCAATTTTATTTAGGATTGATTTATTTAGGGAGTGTTACTCTGCTTATGTGCTGATGATTGCTGTAGATAGAAAGCATTTTAAATCATACAAATCTTTTGTTTTAATTATTTTATATTTTTGTCTTGTTTTTGAGGAATTATTTTTATGTTTTTTTTTTAATTTAAAAATTTTGTTTATTACAATTGAATAATTTGTGTGGTTGAATTTGGTTACAAATTTTTTCCTTTTAAAACTTCTTTATGATTTTTATTTATTGATAATAATTATTTCACTACTACTTGCGTACAGATATTAGTTAATAAAAGTGATCTCTGATGCTTCATTTTATTTATTCCATCAGAGTTTGAGCAGCATAGCATAGATCAACGATAAGTCCCAATGACTCAACAGTCAACGTGTATGACTCAATAGTTAATTTTCACTTGGGTTTACTTTCTCCAAATATTTCAAATGTGATTTATCTTGAATGTAAATTTTATCTTTCTAATTATTGAATATCACCCAGCCTTACCGATAAATAATAGTCAGTATCTTATCCCACGTATTTCATTTTGCACACAACAACACACACACACACACTCACACTCAGTCATTAATTTTAATTTACTCTTTTTTTTCTATAAGTTTTTCAAAATTGTGTGTGTATTTATTTTTGCATTGAATCTTCATTAACATTTCTTTTAATAATTTTTTATTTTCATTTTCTCAACTACATTGTTTGTTATGACCGACTGTTTACAGCAGAAGGTGCCTGCAGTAGATTTTCTTCGTTAGTAGTTACAGTAAAGTTTTTGCTTCACAAATACTGCTTCCAAGCTCATATAGCCACACACACAGGCATACATTACGTGTTTGTTGAATATTCTTTTTGTGCGAACGACACAAACGCTCCTGTCTATATGTCTATGTTTTTAAATCTTCAGCTTGCATTTGAAGCAAGCCAACAAGCAACCAATTGGTGTGACGTTAGGGAAATGTTGAATTCGAAGCTAATTTTTTTGACGTATTCAGGATGAAGCAAACTACTAATAAAATTGGAGTCGTTTATTGATATTTCAATCTTTTTTGTTTTTTTCCGCATTTCACGTGAATTGACGGGAATTGTAGAAAATGCATCAATTGTAATTGAATCACCGATAAAAATTTTTCGCTTTTCACATATCAGAAGTGAACATGGCATTGAAACATTGATATAAAAAAAGAAAAAAATTAAACATCACTTCGAGTTGTTTTGTGGCTATTGATTAGATAAACTGCTTGATTGCTCTCTCCTGTTTTTATTATTTTTTTTCTCATTTTCTAAAATCCGGTTGTTGCCACCCAGCCTACATTAATATCTGCTCTTTATTTACGTGCAGTCTACCAGCTCCTTATGATAACGCGCTATCTTGCTACTTTTTAAGTACGAATATGAATTAATTCTCTCCATATTTTTTTTCATGAATTTTTTTTACGTTGTGTTTTGATTTTCACCTGATCAAAATATCTATCACCAACGACATTAATAATAATAAAATAATAATAATAATAATAATAATAAGAAGAAGAAGAAGAACAAGGATAAACGTAGCTATGATACTTTTTTTCAGTTTTTATTATTGTAGCCCTGACAATACGCAGATACTGCTGAGTGTATGTAGAATTTCCTAGTGGCACATTGATTTTCTTGATGATTTTTATATATAATTGCTATTTTTATTTACCTCAATGGTTCCATGGATGTGTTCATCTTGGATAACGTTGTTGTAGCTTCATTTAGGTAAATCATTTCGTTGATAATGCTTCTAGGGTAAGTTTATTGATTTATTGGCATAAAAAAAGTTGTTTTTTCGTCTTGCTTATGTAAAGCGTTTTTACTATTTTTAGTTTAACTTTATATTTCTATACATTAATTATTATTTATTGAATATTTTTGTCACTATTAATATTATTTTTATTTTTTTTATTTTTAAGAATAATTCTTTCATCATATGCTAACAAGCACAACAGATAAGATACTTGTGATGAACATGCAAGTGGTTTCAAGCTAATTAATAGCCTAATTTAATTTTAATTATGCGTCACTTTTTTCTGAACTGTTTTAATTATGTAATTCAATAAGTATTTATTATTTGCATCTGTTTCTAAAATCAATTGATCTTGTGTCTTTAGTGTTATTATTTTTTGCTATTAGTATAAATAATCTTCTAAATCAATAATCCTTATTTTTTTTAATCACCGTAATCTTTTTTCATCGAACTCTTCATCTTCGTCTTCCTTATCATCATCATCATCATCATCATCATCATCATCATCATCATAAACCATCATCATCAACGACATCGTCATCATCGTCATTCTTATCCACTATAAAAATGTGTATCTTTATTATCATCTTTGTCATCATTTAAATTAATCTCACCATAATTATTATAACTATGGCTATTCTCACTCACTCAGGATCTTCATTATTATTTCTGTAACCATCAACCTCATCATCGGCCATTCTCTGTCATCATCCTCTCCATCATCATTTTTATAATTATCATTATATCCATCATCATCGTTTTTGCAATCACCTTAATCAATATCATTTTAGTAATAAGCTTCGTGTTCATCATTTCCATTATAATTTTAATTTCCATTATCATCTTATCTTTTTTCATCTCATCTTCATAATGATCCTTATAACATCGCCATCTTTTTCATCTTCATCATCTCTTTCACCATCATCTTCATCATTTTAATCATCGCCAGTGAGTGCTGAACAAGATGCCATAAATGCGTTGATATTCATGAAAGAGAAAGAACTAGCCCTGGCTCTCATGAAGGTTGCTGAACTGACCAGCCAACTCGAATGCCTCAAGGGAAGTGAAGCCATGAGTATGGTCAGTTCAATTTTTATATTTTCTCTTTTAGATGTTTATTTTTCAATATTTTTAAACGGTTATTTAGTCACGTAATACCTTTCTGTTATTGTATTCAACATTTTTTTTTTCAAAATTTTTGTCATATAATCTTTAAAAATGTCTGCTTCCACGTAAATCATTCATCTTATTTTTCTTCTCTTGATATACTACGTATTTCCTTTCAGATACTTTTTCCTTTGTTGCCATTAAAAATGCGTCATTAATTTTTCCCATCTCTTGTATTCTTTTATTCTTTCTTTTTACTGCTAACTTGTTTCCTTTTGACTCATTTTTATTCCATTTATTTGATACCCTTTTCTTTCTACAGAATTCATCTGTTTAATTTGTTTAACTATCGTATTATTTGATGTGACTTTGCTCAATAATAATTTTTATTTTAGTTTATTTTTGTAGGTTAGATAGACATTATTAGATGGAGTCAAACTCATATTTCTTCAATTCGTTCTTTGATTTTTTAATTTCTTTCAACAGTTTCAAAATTAGCATGATGTTTGTTTCTGCAGTGTTCATGCGGTTTTGCAGATCATGCATTTAAACTGATGCGCAGCATCAAATAATTTCCATTACCATCTAATGGATTGCATTTTGTCCATCCACATCAACCTACCGTATTATTTATATTTTTTTCATGACGACTGGCTAATCTCTGCAATTAATTTTTTATTTGAAAGAAATGAATATGAATAGTATCTAAGAATCCACATACAATGCAGCTCTGTATCTTTTGTTTTCATACATTCAACATCTTCATAAAGCAGAACAACGAACACATTCATTCATATTTCTTATAGATTTATATTCACCTTTTATTGAGATTACATGGGTTGAACAAAAATTTATTTAACCTTTTTGCATTCTACTGCATAAAATATACTTCTCAACATTTTCTGTAGATAAATTTATATCTGCTTTGCTGTGCGTGCTTCAAGCCAGTGAATTGTCTGTCTGTTGAGTTTATTATGTTAGAGGACTTACTTTATCAAAGGAATAGATACATCAACATCAGTTTGGCGTTGAGTCCAAGTGCCATTAAATGTTTCTCTTTAGTTTAAAATTAATTAGATAACTCCTTTCGTTTTTTGTTTTTCGTTTATTTTACTATAATCTATTTAGTCAGAACAATAACGTTTTTGTAATAAAAAAATTAATCAGGTGCTGTATATGTTGCATAAGTTGGTATTTTTTTTAGTCATTGCTTTTCTTGGAATATTTAAAGGCTTGGTCTACCCTATTACTAAACCGTCTGACTTTAAGTAGAAAAATAAAGATATATTGTTTTATGCAGAGAGAATCGTTTTGTGACAAAACTCGACAAGTGTTCAATTAACCTTTTCTTTTAAATATACAGGTTTTTTAATTTAAAAAGATGTGTTTGTCGCTGCTACAATACGCGACTTTCAAAAATTGTTATTACTACTGAGATTTTTTTACAAACTTTATTTGAGAAGCTTGCAAAAGTTTTGAAATTTCAAAATACATTTGGTGAACATCTGAAACGAAAATTGATAATAAAATGAACTTAAGTAGCCAATCTTACAGAAAAAGATTTATATTTTTATTTTTAATTTTTAATTATTAGACTGAATTACAAACAGGTAGAATAAATAATAAGAAAATAAAAAAGTATACAATAAATGGAATCTAATTTCCTGCTTGCTTAACACAAGCATACTACCATCTGGATATATACATGCCCTTATCTAAATGTCAAAAAATTGAATAAATTTTAAGCAGAATGTGTGAAAAAGTTGTAGTACTTTCCGCTAATTAAATATCAGCAGGTATCAAACATATAAAAACAACTAATCCTGTTTTCAATTATTATCCCCAGCATCTGTTAGTTCTTGTTCATAAAACCACCATGTGGAGGAATGTATGAAGGTGAATGATTGTATAAATGTGAATGAATATATGAAGATGAATGGATACATGAATATAAATGTATATCTGGATTTGAATGCAACTCAAAGTTTTTCAATCTTTGCGAGAATGCTCTCATTTGAAATTTTTTTGTTGCAAGTTCGAAGTTGTTGCAGTGTTTTGTTGTTTCCTCAATTACAAACGAGCAAGTTTATAATTGCTATTTAGTGTTTTGTTTTCACTTTATTATATTTTACTGATTACATTTTTTAATGGATTTATTCACGTGATTTTTAAATATTCAAAAGAAGTTATTTTTATAGTTTAATTATCTACAATATTTTTTCAGTTTTATTTAATTTTAGTAATCTATTTCAAAGTTAATAAAATGCAGCAACAACTGTTAAGTTTATATTAAAATTTTTGAATTCATGGAACACAAGCACATTATCATGTTTCATTAGTTTGTCCACTCTGGCTCTGAGCACTAAAGTTCATTTAATAATGACGGAAATGCAATGATGTGCTTATTGTGAGGTGCATGCATATGTGCGCGCGTATGTACGTCTGTGTGCGAGATTGTGCCGCTCAAATATTTAATATTTGGGCGCTAAGGAAATATACTTTGAAAGAAATATATAAAAAATTTGAAAAAAAATTTTGTGGAAATTTTCAAAATAAATTTGAGACCGATGGTAACATTCAAAAAAGGTAAAGAAAATCATTGATACTTCATTAAAAAATTTATTATATTTTCAAAGTGAAAATTAAAGTTAAAAGTTATTTGAAATGTATGATGGCAGGAATAACTAGTGTGCGTTAAAGCATTAAGATAACACTCTATATAGCAACATAAAACTACCAATGCTTTTTGTTAATATTAACAATTTTTTTCGAAATAAAATTAATTTTTTTCCGAATTAGCTAATTAAATTCAATTTCTAGCCCACGCCTGACTAGTTAAATTTGCCGTAAATAAATAATGCTAATAGTTTCATTATCGATGCAGAGCATTATATTTAGTGTTATTAACTCAAATAATTATTTCACCGACCTCCTTCTGCATGCACAACTCAGGCCGAATGTTCCACCAGAGTACTTCACCGTCATCAGGACTCTAACGATTTCGTGAATGCCATTCAATCGTCATCTTCGCCATCATCGTTGTCATCATCTCCTTTATCATCAACTATCGTTGTGGCACGAAAAATTCCAATAATGGTTAGAAAAGTGCCAGCTGAGGAACCAAAAGTGAATTACATTATGCCATCTGCTTCTTCATCGTCATCACTTCTGTCTTATTCGTCATCTTCACCACCTCAGCCATCTTCTAGAAACATGAGTCATAGTTATACTCAGTCTGCATCATCTTTGATATCTCCATCGTCATCATTTTCTCCCTCAACTGTTCCTTCATCATCACCGTTGTTGTTTAGTCACTACACTGATAATGCCGTTAAAACCTCAACTCAAGTCAAGCAATCTACATCATTTGATAATTCGGTCATGAAATATTTATTCGATAGAAAAAATGTTCGAAATCAGTTTTTTGCATCTCAGTGCTCAACTTCACCGTCATCAACTTGTTCATCTTCTTTAGTTATAAGCATTCCTCAAGCAGAATGCTCAGACAATGTTGATGGTGTCTCAGCAGCTACAAGCAGAGGAGCACTAAAAACTGTTTCAAATTCAAAACAACAACCTCAAGCCACCTCAATTATTACATCACAATCGAACACAACTTTGAACGGTTTCAAAACAAATTCAGCAGGAAAACAGACAGCTGGAACGACAGACATGTTGGTTTCAGAATCAGCCAACAACATGGACTCAAATAACTCTACAGAATCGTACAGAAGGTCCACATCGAGCATGATGATGAGTCGATTTGCACCTCGTCCATACTCTAGTCGATCAAAAAGCGTTGATTCCACGTCATTCAGGAGGCCCTCAAGTAGGCCAACTACTCCATCTCGTGGCGACTTGTGGTCTGATGAAGTTCTGACTGACGTCAACTGCCATAAAACCAAATCATCTGCCATGAATGATTGCCTACTTCCAGGTTCAGAAAATAGTGAATGCATTCCATCCTATTCACATGCTTCTGATAAAAGCAGTGTTTACATAAATGATATGGTGCAAAAGGATTGTTCGTCATCAAATGGCTCGATAATAGCAGTCACTAATCCAAACTATCTTCAACCTGACGGAGGACACAATTTAACAAATATAGACACATTTCATTGTGCCAGCCCCTGTAATTCATTACAATATAATAATAATTTAACTAGATTTCAACGCTTCCTTCCAAAATCTGCGAGTTTTCAATACAGCTTACCTACTCTAAAATGTAATTCAAGTTTAGTTAAGACAAATCTACCTAGGCAACCGACTACCACAACTAGCATTGCTGAATCTAATTCATCCAGTATAGTTTCACAAACCTCATTAAATACCATCACAACAGCAGCCACAACAACAATTTCAACAACATTACCAACAACGGCCTCAATGACATCAGAAACAACATCTATAACCAAAATAACACCTCAAAAACCCAAAAAACCTCCAAAACCACCCCATTTATCCAAGGAATATCGATCTTTGTCTCTTGGTTCATCTGCTAAATATCTCAACAACAACAATAGGGCTTCAACGAATTCTACTAACTTAGCTAACGAAAATAATATAAATGGTATTATTTGTAGGAAAATTCAATCAGACAAGCAACAGGATAGTGTACTAAACTTACAACATCAGCAGCAAACACAGCATCAGCAACACTTACAGCAACAAAAGCGGCAGCAAAATTTAACAACAGATGTTGAAATTATAAGAGTAGGTGGCGTAAGAGAGCTGACCAGAATGTTCTCAAATGATTCTAAAGTTTCAATACCTGATACAAAAATTGGAAACACGGTTGTTTCTTCATCCATCATTGATAATTTCAACAATCATCCCCAACTCTTGAATAGTATTACCACATTAACAAATGGGTTACCATCGCTTGACTCCAGTTTTATATCAGTTTGTTCGTCCACTTCATTAGATCGAGCATCGCCCTCTACAACACCATCCTCATCTTCAACAACCGTCATGGCAGTTACAGACTCAACAGTTTGTATATCTTCCATTCAACTTCCCTCATCTTCAGCATCCACTCACCATTTTTTGGCAGTAACTTCAGACAAGATAAATTTAGAATCACCAACAAGATCAACATCGTCAGTTACACCGTCATCAACATCATCATCTTTCAATGATAGAACGGCTTTATCACCGTTGTCACCTTTTACGTGTAAATCTTCTAATAATTTTCCTCAATCACCTTCAGGGCAGGCAATATCATCACCATCTGCATCGTCATCTTCATCTTCTGGTTCTATTCAACCTTCCATCACAGCTTCATCAACATCATCTGTTTCATTATCATCATCCACAACAACCTCTCAAGCATCTTCAAACTCATTAGATATTTCAGCGAATGCAGTCAACTCTGCCTTATCCATACTGATGTCTGGCAGCCAACATTCATCAGGACATTACATATCATCATCATCATCACTTCTGACGTCATCGTCATCTTTATCATCATCATATCATCACCACACATCGGCATCCAGACCAACTCGATTGTTTGGGTACTCTTCTAATTGTACAAGACCAAAGTTTCCTCTGACTTCGACGTCATTCATTAATGACCAGGATAACATGAACTCGTCCATATCATCTGACACAGATGACGATGCAGTTAAAAAAACAACATCTTCTACTGCAAAGAAATATTCATCGTTACCGTCATCACTCACCAACATTTCAGTTTCAGCTCCAACTATATACTCATTATTTTCTCCTCCCCCAAAGACAAAACTTTCGATTTTCGTGACCTCACCAAATGTATGTACGAGCACATCGGCCATCGACCACATAACTGATAAAAAACCACAACCACCAACAACATCTACGAGCACCAAGTTGAAACATTTGCTCCCTCTCTCCTACATAACCCTTTCATCTGATTTATTCTACAACAACACCAACACTGAAGCAGATAAGGTGGATGGTGGTACATCCTCCACTAAAAAGAAAACAAAGAGGAGAGTTACGTTTGACCCGAACTTCACTTTCATGAATGTTGTAGCTGAAGGAGAGCTTGAGCTTGTTAGGAACATCATACCGATGGTTTGTTTGTTTGTATTCGTCGTTCTTTCACTTTTACGTTTTTAATCTTCTTTTCCTTTCCTTTTTTCATTTATTCAAATAAATTTAGTCTCGTCCATAAGACGCAGGCTGCTCAACCTGTGGTTTTGTCTTTGCATATGTATGAACATTTTTCTTGGATATATTTTCATATTCAGTCATATTCTAAAAAAGAGTATTTGTTTATATTGAAGAAAGCGTAATGAAGAGGTTGTGCAAATATTATTTCGCCTGATTGACAATTACTCTATTGTTGTTATTTATAGAGGCATGTTATCTACTTCTACATGCACTCTTTCTTTTTTGTTTGTTTTCCTTTTTTTGAAATTTTACAACTTTAAATATGTTTATATATTTCTATCAAAAATTTAATAAATTTAAATAATATTCTCTAAGCATATTGAGTTTACATGCCATTAATAAAGGTTTTAAATAGTTATAAAATTGAAAGGCATGAAACAGAAATTAAAATCATTGCCAGTTAGATGCCAACTGAGCTGTATGTTTTAGTTTATTATTAGAAGAAATATGTCTCGGCAATGGTATGAGAATGCAGATTTTTATTAAAAACTAAAAACTTTCAATTGTCCCACACGCATAAATGTTTGTGCTGCTGATGTATGCACCAATTGAAATTAACCAGGTCACTGACCCAGATAGAGGTAACGATAATGGCATGACGGCCCTACATGTGGCAGTTTGCGGTCTGCACGTTGATGTTGTCAAGTTCCTCCTTCAGTATGGATGCAACGTCAACGCTGTTAATAATGATAACTGGTTGGTTTTGTATGTTGTAACTATCTACTCCTGATATTCCGGATATATATAACTGATGATAACTGATGTTCCGGATTTATATATATATATCGATTTTTCTAACGGACTTTATATATATATATCGATTTTTCTAACGGACTTTATATATATATATATATGTATATATATATATATATATATTTATATATATATTAGGGATGCACCGAAGTTCGGCCCCGGCTCCGGCCCCGGCCAAAATCCGGCTTTTTTTTCCAAATCCGGATTTAGGGACGGATTTAAGCGTCTAACTTTTAAAAATGTTAGAAATAGAGAAAAAAATTTTATTGAATTCAATTAATTTTATGTCAATAAGTTAATGGCTAAAGCTAAGCTAAAGGCATACATGACACATAATAACAACATCACTAATTGTGAGGTGATCTGGACAATTTTCTTTATGCTATAACATGGGTTATGCATAAATTATAAGCTGATCTTTGTGTAAAAGAACTTGTGCACGTGTATATACTATATATTGATAATTGCTCATGACGGATCATATAGCTACATAATATACATATATATATAAATAAAGATATATATCTATATATATATATATATATATATATATTTAGAGAGAGAGAGAGAGAGAGAGATACATAAGCACATAATTTAAGAACATGGTATGTTAAAGGTTAGGCTAGGTATACATGACACATAATTACAACATCACTAATTGTGCGGTGAGCTGGACAATTTTCTTTGTGCTTTAACTTAGGTTATGCAAATATGCTTAAATTATAAGCTGATCTTTGTGTACAGAATTTGGCGTATCATATATTTGAATTAAAATAACTATTTGCTTGGTGTTATTTTTTGATGTTCAACATGTAGATAACCGTAAATGCGAGTATTTTTTCTAACGTATGTAAAATGGTAACTAAAATCCGGCCCCGGCTCCGGCCCCGGCCGGTTTTTGAATTTCAAGAAAAGAGTTATCAAGAAAAGAAGAACTTTTTAAAAATATGGAAGCGTCAATAATCCAGACTAAATCACGGAGTATTTCTGCAGATATATATATATATATATATATATATATATATATATATATATATATATATATATATATGTATATATATTTCAAAAATTCAGCACTACTTTGAAATGTTGCGTTAACAACAGTCTGTTACCAATATATATATATATATATATATATATATATATATATATATATATATATATATAGATATATATATATATATATATATATATATATGTTAAAGGTTAGGCTAGGTATATATATATATATATATATATATATATATATATATGTGTGTGTGTGTGTGTTGGTAATAGACCATAATTTTTACAATATTCTATAAATTCTACCGAATGTTTGGCGTTAATATGTTTGTAGTTAGTTTTTCGATTTTTCTCACTAAAGGTTTTTGGTGAACGTTTAGTTTATTAAAATTCAAAATAAACTTATTTTTCGAATTCATGCTGCAAATAAGGCCATATTTCGATTCCGAATGAATCATCATCAGTGCTCCTTGCTGTATATATATAGGGAAATATTGACTTTGTCAAGATGAACTTTGACGTTGTAAAAATTAACTTTGGGGTTGTAAAATTGAACTTTGATGCGAATTAGGTGTCAGGTTTCTTAATTGGCTGGTCATCTTCTTTGGTCTCCTTTTCTTCATCGATAGCATCATATTCTTCTTTGTCAACCAGGTAAAGGACAGTTGAATAGAAATATATAAATAAAAAACATTCCGTATCTGCTCATTAAACTTCAGTTTTCAGATAACGTAGCAGGTAATGGCAATCATATTGTTGCATTGCAAAATTTAATGATGTTCGCCGTTTCAATTGATGCTTGCTATTCAATGAACCCATTGTTAAGTGTATTATTTCGCTAAATGTTCATCAGTGCATGATTTGTGACTTGACAATTACCTGAGTTGATTATTTCAATTGAGGTTATTATTTTTATTTCTTTTTGTCTCTCTCTCTCACTCTCTTTCTCCATTTTCTCTTTTCCCTTTTTGTTTTACTCTCTCATTTTCTCTCTTCGTTTTTTTTCTCATCTTTACCCTCTTTTTTTTCACTGTCTCTTCTTGACTCTTTGCTATGATATCACTAATTAGTTATTTTTGATAATTTTTTCGCTGGTTCGGGCTGAGTGTTGGGACGAAATGGTGGTTAATAATAATAATAATAAAATTAATAATAATAATAATATTATTATTATTATTTTTCTTCTTATTATTATTATTATTATTGAGAATGCCTGTTAACAGGACCCCACTACATTACGCGGCTCTCAATTCGAGGAAGGATTTGGTGGAGATGTTGGTTGAGCACGGATCATGCGTGTACGCTCTGACGTCGGACCACCAGACACCTCACGACAAATGCCAGCCAAATGAAGAATGCGCCAAAGTGCTAAAAGGTTAGTTGGCTTTCAAATGAATGTATCAACGTTCATCTAAAAAAATGAGTAATTGTTTAATATAGGTTGGTGGGTGGTCTCGTGCACTTCGTTATTTTCGCGCCACCTCTTATTATTGCATATTTGAAAGTTTGCCGTTGAATGTGTTAGTTCATCATGGTTCTTCAGTTGTTAACAGAAGTGTACAAGGTACATCTGTACAATGTACATTATCATTATTATTATTTAATTATCGTCTACAAACAAGTTGTGCAAGGCTGCAAACAATTTGACAACGTTCTTTTTTCATTCGTTTGCTTGTTCATGTGGAGATGAGAGATGATAGTGATAATGGTTGTGATGATGATGATGGTGGTGGTGATGATGGTGGGTGAGTATGATGAAGATGGTGGTGACGATAATTAGTTTTTGAATATAATGTAAATAGTTTGAAAATGATAGGAACGAAGTTACTTTGTGTGCTTGCCCTGTATGAAGCATTACGGATGATGTCCGTTCTTCTATGTAATCGGATATTTGCGTTTCTGTTTATTTTACATTTATGACTTTGTAACTATGGACATACACGATTGTTCTTTTGTGCAGTCCAGCCAGTCTATAGATGCATGCTTGTACTGTGTATGCATGGGTGGATCATTCATACATGTGCACGTGTTCACACTTCTCCTCATACTTCCATATGTACAAACGCTGAGGTACACGTGTTTTCATACATATCGTCTTGCTCATATTCAAGTGTATTTGCTCGATGCAAACTGCGAGCTTGGAAACTAACCACATTAAATAGTTTATCATAGGCACTGATGTGGAAATGTGACCGTGTGGGACAACGACAGTATAGTGTGACCGGAAAGAATTCAGAGATTGCTAGTTTTGTTTTTTTACTGAAATATGTTGGACAGTTTCTGCATTGAGTAGGTTTATGTTCTTCACCTCCCTCCATGAAGCATGTATTCATGGAAATTTGCAATTGCACACAAGTTGAAGAATGAGGTTTTGTTCTGGATTGTTCTTGGTGGAGATGAATCCGCTCTGTTGCCTTCATTTTAGATCAACTAATTTATGTGTTTGTTTAGGGTTGTTATCTATTTCTAAAACTTTCAATAGCTGTTTAAAGCGTTATAATTTTCAACAAGGTGATAATCGAAGATAACCCAATAAACACGCTCTACAAACATACAATACAATTTTTAGATGGTGTTTTGTTTTTAGCATTCATTTCGGTAAGAATAAATTAACATTCATTCCAGTAAGAATAAATGTTGAATGTTAAATGTTGAATGTTAAATGTTGAATCGCCATAAGATTCAACAACAACACGAACAACAAGAACATGACTAATAGCACACAGCTCTAGTAATTTGATCAAACGGTTTTAATGTGCAAGGTAATTGAAAGAGTTAAATTCTTACCATCGCCAAATGATGATCCATAACAGATATCAAACAAGTTCGCATTCAATAAAATATTTATATGCACAAAGTGTTTGTATAAGTGCATGAATAAATTATATCCATAAATAGGTTCACATATGCAGAGGGCGCTATATATTTATGCACTTAAGGCATTGTTTGCGAATGTGTGCGTGTGTGCATGTGAATATTCGTCTGCAGTATTTGCGCATTTACGATTGGATATACAATGTACGTTCTGATATGTGATCACATACGAATTAGTTTTCGTTTATATTGGTTTACATATGCATGTTATAATAAGCAGAGTGAAAGAAAGTTCTTCAAGCACACAGTTTCATTTGTGAAGTTCAACATCTCTGTTTTTGTAGGCTTCTGCTCTGTGCACTGAGGGAATGAGGAATCCTTCATTCATTCCAGTCGCAGACACTCAGTCATCATCTGCACACACACACACACGCACACACAAACACACACACACACACGCACACACAACAGTACATCAAGGATGCACATTCTCGTCTCTACAAATTTAATTTCTCATGAAAATTTGTTGTAACCATTAAACGAAGGAAGTGTTAAAAATGATAAACAGGGTATTTTTTCTTTCTTATTTATTTATTCATTGTATAATTTCTTACGTGGTGGACTTGGAATTAGATGAATGCAGACAGACCAGGAGAAGTGCCGATCTTCAATTTGTTGCCCGCTTCCAGATGATGTCACTTGTGAAGGTGCACTCCCGCGTTACGTAGCAGTGACGTTTATATATTAATAGAATGCAGGCAGGACGGTATAGAATTTTAATATGTCGGTGTTTAACATTTTTTTACTTTCTTAATCCCTATAAAAATCTCTTAGAGAATTCCGGTAAACAACCTGCCCGATGATAATTACGTTTGACCTTATTATTAATATTTTAAAATGTCATATTTATTCACCCACGTTCTGCGGGCTACGTCATTGCAGTGCACGAGCTAATTAATTAGTATTCATGAGATGTTTCAATTGATCACCGGCCTATATATTGTGAATATTTATAAGTTAATTTAAGTATAGAATAGTACAACTTTCATAGATTTAGACATAGATAAATTGTAAAGAATTTTATTTTTTTAAATTTTTTAATATTTTATTTCACATTTGGCAGTTTTGTGAGACGAGTAACTGGAAAGATTTCGTAAAATGTAATGTTTGTTAATCGCGAGTAGGTTGTAATTTAATTTCTGCAACTATTGAAAATGTTTTCTCAGATTACGAACATCAGTTGGGCCATGTGAACAACGGTCTGGTCTACTGCATGGTTGGCTATCAAGCTGAACAAGACGAAGAACTGACCGTGCACGCTGGTGAGATGCTGAGAATTTTGAGAAGGGGAGATGAGATGGAGAAGGAAGGGTGGTGGTGGGCCAGAAGGGTGACTGAACACGGATGGGGTGATGAGGGTGGGGTCTCGGAGGAACACAGCCACAAATCTACCACCACCGCGACGTCCATCATTGATATTGATGATGTTGCAGATGTGGACCACGTTGAAGATTTTGACGACTGCAGTGGTTCCGTTGCGACTGAACAAGCTGGCTCAGCAACCATGGGGAGACACGTAGAAGGAAGTGTAGCGCGGAGTATTATTGCTGTTAGTTACTTTCTTGCTTTGCTGCTTTGAGACAATATTATATTACTGCTAAATTATTTAATTTGTATTTTATTCTTAAATTTTAGGTGTATAAAATGGCGCCTAAAAAATGGATCTAGTGAGAAATTTTATCTCTTTTCGAGTATTGTCCTGAAGAGATGAAAGTTAACAAAGATTGGATTGAAGTTCTGAAATGAAGATACCAATCAAGATTAATTAATAATGACCATGAAACAAATTCGCGATGGTGCTGGTTGTCATAATTTTGTAATCTACTGAAATTTCATTTTGAAGATTGTTGGCCATTATTGTTAGCTTGGGATAAGCTACAATGTTGGGCATGGAGATGATGAACGTTAGGTATGTAGATGTAGTCTGTCGTGTGTGACAGCGTTTACCTTTCTTTTTTGTTATGATAACAATTAATTTATTGCTTGTGCAATTGATATTGGACGTTTTTTGTTTCTTGCAGTAATGCTTTTCATTTGGTAAAATAAATTTATTTATACGTACAGTTTTTTGCTTAAGAAAAGAATTTTTAAACCAAAAACGTAGTATTTGAGTTAAGACCATATACACCTATCCATTTTAACGTTTAGATTTTATTGTGGTTTCTGTTTGAAATGCTTTTACTTAATTTTTTTCATTTTTTGAGTATCATGTTGAACGAGTTGATAATATTCAGATATCATTTTGTTTTATTTTTCCATAATTTTTAAAATTTCAATTTTAGACGTAGTATTTTTCACATTAATTTATCCGTGGCAGTTATTGTAGCCAGTCAAGATTTTTATTGTTTTTCTATGGTCCTTTACCTTTTTTTAATACTTTTACGTAAAAGGCATTTGAAAAATTGTTTAGCCAGTCTAATTTATAGCGTATTATAAATTTTCTGTCGTTGTTTGATCATATTTTATTTCATCTGCATTGGAGAGCATTCCAAATATCTTAATTTCATTTTTATTTTTTAAAGAATTTTCAGAAAATTATGTTTCGCAAAATGAAAGTTGTAAATATTTGTGAATGTTATGGAACTATCTGTCTGTACAGGGTTTATGAAAATTTCATAAATCCCAAATTAATTGAAAAAGTCGTTCAATTCCTTTTTTTGGTTTCTTCAGTAGTATTCTTGTATATGTACAAATATTTATTGTTTATGGCTTATAATTTTTATATTTCAGTTTTTTCAGTTGAATTTTATTAACGACGTCACATACAATCGAAACTGTCCTTGTACGTACATACGGTGTGAGTTGTTGTGACTGACAATTTCTAAAGGCAAAATGCACTGGACACTCTTTTACGAGACATTTCTGACGAACAGGTGCTTCATATTCTAATGTTCGTGTCTTTCTACATTTTGGACGATGACGAATGTTAGGAAATTTAATAATATACTAAAGAATCATCAAATTATTTTATTTATACCTTGTTCATTACGGTTACAGTCTTAAATTTTTCATGTCCTTTTTTTAAATAAACTACTTGTTGTGATTGTTTCAAAATTCGTTGCTGTTTTCTATTGAAAGAAAAATGAATGTGGTCGATGCCGACGGTTTGAGGAAAATCTTTACTTGGTTTACACTGAAACTCAATATTTCTGTTGAACCATAAAGTTCATAGTTGAATTTGAATGTGGGCCAGTGTTTCAAAATGTTGAAAGGCTTGACAGGTAACTTGTACATAAACTTTATTAATAGTCACTAGAGAATGCTACAAGTGATTAAATAAAGTGACTTTTATTCAACAAATATGCTGAGCCAAGAACATCAAAATTAAAAGAACATGCATTGTAATAAAGAAGAATTCTATATAATAAGGAAATGAATCAAAAGCTTTATTCAAAAAGCGAAAAAAAATTTAAATAGCAAAAGTTTTCAAATCTTCGACGCTCTAACGTACAAAATCGCTCAAAAATATTTTTTGTTTTTTAAAATTGGAATATTAAATAAAAACTATGGATGGATCGAATCGAAATTTTAAAATAACTTATCTCAATATTTGTGTAAAATAATATGTTCAACTAAACACAAAATTGAACGTTAAAAAACATGAGGTGCGAAGTGTGAACAAGGGATCAAAATTGCAAACGTTAATACCTGGATGTTTGGCAAGTAGTGAAAATTAGGTAAATGCGGATATTAACACAATATGTTTTCTTTAATAAAACTCCGCTACAACTACAATAGCTTTGAAGAATTAAATATTTGAAGAAAATATTCACTAGAAATCAAAATCCATGTTCTACCGGATTGCCACAACTTTCAGTGCTAATTTAATTTAAAAACTGCATTAACATAAATCAATTTAAGAGACAATTAATAAAATATTTGCATCGTTTTTTGGAGAAAAATATTTCATCAACGAACGGAACGGAATATTATTAAATGCAAACAAATTGAAAACATGCATTTATCGCATAACAATTTTGCGTCTGTATGTGGAGAAAGCACTTAACACATGTAACTAGTAAAACGTATTATTACTATTGTAGATAGGTAATAACAAATTTTCTAAACATAAGTATTGGAAACGGTGATACGCTAATATTTAATTTTTCAAGTCATTAACAATTAAAACCTAATATAGCCGTAGTTTTTTTAAAGATTTTTTCACGGAACTAACACAAATGCTGGGCCGGATGCGATCAGCGCAGGCATAATAATTTAAATGTAATGATGATGAGCAAAGCGATAAAAATAGATAGATATATTGTAAAAACTCTCCGCGTAAGAAGCAATTTGTATGTTTCTTTCTTCAAACAATGATCTATTTATAACTATCTCAACTCATAATAGGACGAATTTGGAAAGAAAGTGACGTTATGATGAATACTGCATAAGTGCAATTCATGTAAATATACATACATATATATATATATATATATATATATATATATATATATATATATATATATATATACACACACACACATATATATATTGTACATTGTTAATTTGTGATTAACAATGAACTTATAAACTGATCTTGTTTTTAGTCTTGTTTTAACTGTTGATCTCATAGAATAGATAATAAGTTATTTTACTTGAATATTTTTTTAGGAATGCTATCAGTTAACAGATTATTTAAGCAAAAAGTAATTTCATACTAGCATATCTGATAAAATGTTTCAAAAAACTTCTACGAAATTAGTTTTTTAATATTTGGAATCCAAAATATAAACGTTGCCTCAGACGATCTTACACAGATGCATACTTATAGAGTGTTCTATGTTTGAAATTATCATTTTTTCAACGAGTAACAACTGTTATGGATGATGTATATTATTAATAACGTTCGTCGATAAATTTGCGATGTTTAAAATTTCGTTTCGTGTGCTTATATACATTGATATTTTCGCTTATTTTTAACTAAAGAAACTGTGCTAAATACTGATTGTTAAAGTTATTTAATTATATTGAAAGAACAAAGCTTCCGTTGTTAAAATAATTTTCTTTACTCGTAATATGGATACACTGAGGAACATCAATGCCTTAGCCCAAATAATGCTAAGACTAGAAGAATTGAAAGTTGAAAACAAAAATCTGCGAAATAAATGTAATCAAATGAAAGAGCTTGTAGAACTGTGGCAGTTTCATTGTTTAAACTTGCCAGAGAACTATTGTTTAGAGTGCGGCCAATCGAAATCTAAAAAAATTATGAACAGATTGAATTCCAAATCTCCAATTGATCATGATGAAATGGCGAGAAGTGCAGAAGTTATCTTCACCGAAAGCAGCTCATCCGCTTCGCCCGTTTCTGCAACAACTCCAACAACACGCTTAAACGATTTATCTCGAAAATTAAAACGTTTTCTTTCCAACAAAACCGATTCGTACTGCAAAAAAAAAGCTGAAAAACCGTTTCGCAGATTTAAATCAGAAAATTCAAATGACGAGTTTATGAAAAAAGCTGTTGTATCTCCTTCTTTTTTGCTATTTAGTCCCTTCTTTAAACATGCAAACATTAAAAAATTTCAGAACCATAAAAAGAGCAAAGAAAAAACTGAAAAACATCCACCGTTAAGAAAATTTAGCTCTTTTAGCGTTGACTTGCCTCAATTAAAATTCCCTACATTCAGTCGAAGAGCCAGTTGTGATGTTGTGACCGAAAGTGATGCCAAGCCAGACATTGTCGGCAGTTTAACTCTTTCGGCGCCATCATCGCATTGCAAATTGAAGTTCAATCTGAAAAGTGACAGGGAGAACAACCCGCCGAATAAGTAATTTTTTTAATTTTAGTTTTTTTACAAATCATAAATAATTGTTATTATCATACTTAATATTTTAACAGTTTGTTAAGAGTAGATAAAACAGAAATAAACAACAAATCGTCATCATTCCTACATTCTTCTCTGTCGAAATCTTTGATAAGGCCAAATGTTTTGCTGCAATTTCTGCCTGAATCGAACATCTGTTCGCGATATTCATCGTCAAATCTTTCAACTCTGCCCGAAGAAAACATCTTGACTTTTAGAAACGACGTCGATGATATGGAATCAAATGGCGAAACAATTTCTATAAGGGATCTAAACAGCGAAGAAGACGACAATCAATGTGACAGGGAGGAAGATAAACTATCTTTCAATGGACGGTCAGACGTCAATAGAGTTTTGCCCATCACAACACTGACCGACGCATACAGCATTAGAGATATTGAAAAATTCAACATGGCACTTCTGAAAAATATTTCAAGAGGTAATGAACGCTGCCTTTTAACAAAAACAACAGAAAGTTTGCAAGATCCTGTAGTAGAGAGTTTAAAGAGCGATGTAAATAATAAATCCATCAAAGAAACAACAAATAAGGCTGTCAATGAATCGAAGATAAAAAATTCAACAGACAAAAAGATGAAAACAAACAACACTTCAAGCTTATCACTCTCATTAAATGCTAGTGATAAAGTTAACCTTGATAGCGAACACTGGATAAAGATGAATAGTCTATTGGGTTTGTACGTTTTTGTTTTTAAAATGTTTTTTAAATAAATAAAAGCAAGTAATTGTAATAAGTTAGCTTTATTTTTTTCACATTGTGTATTCAAATTCGATCCGAAACCCGACAAGGATGTGAAATTTGCGTTGAAAATGAATATTTCTTTGTTGCATCGTGCTTCTTCATAGAGAGCACTCTTCTGAAGCTGATGAAGCAAAAGAACTATATTTTTTCTTTTTCACTGTTACGTGAGCGATATTGTTCGGAAAATTTTTATTTTGTGTGCTTGCAATTAACTGCACATAATGTTTCAACTAAACAACATGCCTCTTTGTTACGTACCCGGCAAAGTCATCCTGCAGTAAACATTTCTGTTCTGCATTTATAACCGATAAACATTTCAATAACAATAATTTTATCAATTATAAAAAATATTGTTACTAATATAATTGTTATTTGTTGTCACCTTTGTAATTTTTTTTATATAATTAATTTCGTGAATGTTTGATAGCTATGAAAAACGATGATTGACTGAACAAGCTAGAAAAAAAGATCATCCACAATTTTATAACTCTAATTTCAACAAAGCTAATATAGTTAAACAAAATGAATCAAAAAATTGTTTGTCGTGTTACAATTTTATAACTGCTGGCGTTAATGCCTTTATTAATAGTTTGTTTTGAGTAGCTGTTTCAGCAATTTAGGTTTTACTTATGCTGTTAAAATTTTAGTTTGGCTCTTTTGTTTTATCCACTAATATGTTCAATTTGTGTGGTAAAGATCAAAACTTTTAATGTTATAAATAGAAATGGTTTTTAAACAATGAAAGACAAAATATATTTGAAACAAGGCAAACTTTTCTTAAACAGAAACATGCCACACGCGTGTGACACTGTTTTTTAATTTTTTTTAATTTTATTAATTACAACTTTGTGATCATTCACTTCTACAATAAATTTTCCCAGGTGCAACTCAATTATTTTTACTTTAACATGACCCATCCTTTGCATGTGCCTAACAACTTCGTATTAGCAAATATTTCCTTGTGATCAATCAAGAAGTGTTGTAAAGCTTGTTCAACCAGTTAGAACAGGGGTGGGCAAAGGCGGCCCGCAGAGCTATTTTATGCGGCCCGAGAGGCGTTGTTCGCTAAAAAAGGTCGTCAGCCAAACTTTATAGCCCAAAAAAGAAGCCACAAATATTAAAAAAATTCTCACCCGGGTCGAAAAAAATTGCTATTTAAGTACATATGCGGCCCTTCAACGGTAAAATTGTTCTCAATGCCCCCACAGCAAAAAATTTGCCCACCCCTGAGTTAGAAAATTGGTCTGATGCCAGCTAAACTCCATCACGCCAATTTTTTATCTATTACTTGCCATGTTTTTAGCCTACAACAATTTTTAGAAACAATTTCTGGTGAGGCTTGAAAAAAATATCATAGATATTGCAGGACATAAATGGTTTCTGAATTTTTGCTACCACGAATGTTACCTCCATTTTTTTTATCAAAATGTACTAATTTATGTTAGAAGAGTATTATTTGTTAATTTTGCACATAAATTATATTCATAGGATGTTAGGAAACGTTTAACGTTCATATCAGAGTATTGAGGAAGAGCTCGCTTAGACCTTTTGTTAACAGCACTGAAAACTTTGAACACATTAACTTAACTCCGTGGAGTACGTTTTCCTTAATATGCAATATATCTTTCTCTCCCTCTCTCCCTCTGTTGCTCTTTCTTTCTTTCTTTCTCCCTCTCTCTCTCTTTCTCTCTCTCTCTCTATCTCTTTCTCTCTCTCTTGCAAAACTGTGGTGTAGTGTAATTATTCCTTAGATCAAACTGATGATGTTTATTTCTGTTGACAAAGACACTTTGTATGAACAAAACAGAAAAAAAAACTTAAAAAAAACTTAATTTCAGATGTTAGCAGCGAATTTTCTAAGAAAATGTTAAAATGGGAAAATATGAAAAAACAAAAGAAACCGAATAGCAAAGGTAGTTTTTCTCAATTTTCAACATTTATGATTACTATTTTATTATATTCTTCTTTTGATACCTTTTCAAAATCATCTTCATAAAAGCACTTTTATTGTTATCACAATTTACTTGTTTTCAAACATCTAAAGTCATAAAAGAATCGTTAAGTTATAGACTCGCAAAAATGTTCTCTATGTTTTATTTATTATTCTTTCCTCTCCTCTTTAAACACAGCAGACATAATTGTTTTTTTTCCAATCGGTGTTTGCAAGCACACTTTTCATGCACACGCATGCATTTTTGTTTACATTTAATATTGGTTCTATGCATTTTTAGTTGTGCGTGGCACATCTGATTATCTGACACATTGAAGAGTTTCTATCACGTGTTGATAAGTGATGACTGCTGGGAAGATTTTTGTTGTTTTTGTGTTGTTGCTGCTGTTATCTTGCCTGAGCATATGTGTCCTAAATCGCGTTACACATCTGATGATTCATCCGTGTTAAATCAACGTTTTATAATTCGTTTGCTCTCCCTTCGCTTCGATGATTTATCTGCTGAAAAAGATTGTTTCTTTAATATTAGCAGATCATCTGAATAATTTACAAACACGTGTGGGCTAAAAATAGATCACATTTCGTGCTGTTATTGTTGATTGATGATATTTCTTGCATCATTTGCTTATATTCGTTCATACATATTTTAAAATGTGTATAAGACCAATATTATACTTTGTATCATTTTACTTGCATGCATGGATCAAAATGTTTCATGATTTTTTTAAATTTTTCTTGCATGAACTTGCATTAGATGTTTTTTTTTATTTATATATTTCATTCAGGTTGCGCATTATTTTTTCAGTAAAAACCGCAAAGCCTACAACAATTTTTATATAACGGTTGTGCGTGCAAACAAAAGTAAAAAAAAAACAAAACAATAAATTATTTGCCCATCTACTTCTATTTTGAGCAGTTTATTATTATTTCGTTTGCAAGTGCTTTGTGAATAAAAAAAACATGTTTTATTGCTTTATATTCTGGTCGGATATTGGGGTTTGTAACCATCGCAACGATTAAATTGTATAACGGTAGTCAAATAATGAGATAAAAAATTTATCCTGTTTCACATGGCATTAATATTTTGTTGTATGTATAAATTATTATTGGATTATATTAGCTCATTCAAACTCTACTTGATTTAAAAGTAAACTTGAGTAGCCAGATGAAGAGCAGTCTAACATCAAACCAGTTTAGTTCGCCATCATTTCTTCAACAAGCAAGGTTGTCTCCATGTTTGTCGAAACTGAGGCATAAACAGGAGCCAAGGTTCATGTGACGTCACAACTTTGCTTTCCTTTTCTCGTTTTCAAAAGATTACAAAAAATGTTTTTATTAAAATTATTTGTGAACCTAATTGATAAAAAGCGATTGCATTTTTAAACTTTGTATCCCCTCTAGAATATCTACAACATCTCTACCTACGCCGTTCAACACATCAGCCAACAAATGCGAACTCTACAAGACAGACGGTGCTGATGTTGAGAGCACCGACGCGGAACCTTCGACGACGAAGATGAAGATAAGAAAAGATTTCAATAAACAACTGGCTTGTGAATTGTTTATTGCTTTATCAGGCGCCAACAAAATCAGCAACAGTGATACTAACAACGTCAAAAACATTGTTAGTGTTGACGGAAATTTTAATCGTAAAGATAACAATATAAATAAAAATATTAATACTAAACAACAAAACAAATTTCAGGATTTCATGCAAAAAAACCAGCTGACCTACAATGAAATGAATTCACTCGCCTGTCCAGCTAGCCCAGCTAAATATCTTAATTACGAAGTTTCCGAAACGGACGATGTTAAAATGAATGACATCAATGACGAATTCACATTTGCAGCAGTAGTGGCAAAAGGTTGTGAGGAAAGTGATTTTAAGACGAAAACAGTCTTTAAAAATTACACACCAGACAGAAATGTTGAAAAAATCCTTCGGCACGACAGCTACGTCAGTCGTGCGAATCCAGTCGAGATCGTTGTACACTTGACAAATGACAACCACATCGATGATTCCATTTGCAGTTTGAAAGTTTCTCAAAATTCCTGCCACGGATGTTTGCAGACAGATGCAGTGAACAACGTTGGAGGCACTGAGAGATTGAGTGTTAGCGACGCAAGTTCAGTGTCCTCATTTAATGCATCGAAGAAGAGTGAAGACTCCTTTAACGATATTATCAGGTTTACAAACTTCTAACAATTTTAAATTATACATAAATACATGTATTTTTATTTATTTATTTTATATGCAGAATAAATTTTGATTGTTAATCAAAAAGTCAATCTTAGTTGATTCCAAAAAATTTTTTTAAAACACCAAAGAAAACGTAATTTAATGAAAAGAGTAATCTTTAATTTACGAGGAAAACATTTCGAAGGTTAAGATGAACGAACATAAGTAGTTGAACAATCGTTAATTCATTTTTTAACCTTGTAAACCCCGCTTTTGAAACATTAAATTTTCAATCACAAATTATCAGCGAATTGATGTCAGACAATAAATACCTGGACGAAAAGTTGTATGAAAAAGAAAATGAAGTGGACAGACTGAAAAAAGAAATTGTTGACTTGAAAGAAAAAATAAAAATCAACAATTATGAAATGTCCTTTTTGAGAAGTAAAGTTTTCGGTTTATAATTAACACAAATTTAAATTATTTTTTTCAAATATTTAAATAAAAATATTGCCTTGTTAACCGATTCAAACGCTGTTTAGACCATAAAAACTTCATACGCAAGATGCGATGTCTACATTTTAAGTAATTAAATAAAAATTCATAAAATGATCCAATTTGCAATCTATCATCATGTTCATACAACTTTACACACAAAAAATTCTTAGTCGGTGAAACATAATATTCAAAATTCGTTACGTAACACATTAAATGCCATAGTTACATGCAAACTTAATTGCGATCTAATGAGTACATACTTATTTTTTAACATTTTAAAAAGATTTGGCAGATAGCGCGTGTTGTTTATCCCAGACGTTTGCACCCGGCAACCATCAATGCTCTTTTTCTCTTCCTCCTCATCATCTTCCTCATCAGCTCTGTCTTCATCACCGTAGTCGTCTTCATTTTTGGAATTTGGATATGTCATGTTCATCGTCATCATTGTCTATGGGAATTTTATTAAAAAAATTAAAAAATGCTTTTTGTACGCTTAGCCAACAGACGAAATTTCTTTTGGATGAACTCAAAATAAAACAAGTAATTGAAATGAATTCTTTTACATACAACTGTGATCATTGAAACTGAAGAGGGTATATTATTTTCGTGTCTATTTATGATGTTTGATTGAGGTAATTGTTTAAAATATTTATGAAATCTTTATGAAGTTTTCGTTCAGCATCTGCTCGATACAGCAATTATTAAGTCAAGGGAGAATTGTTAACGCATTAAAGTCTAACTGTATAAATTGCTTTTGAAATTCTGACAATTCAACAAAATGAACTTACATAAATGTAAACGTGAAACGCAGGAACAAATGATGAAAGAAATTCAGACAAAAAATGAATTTAAATCTGATTGTTTGAGAGACCTGGAGTCGATGTTGATGAAAACCGGTGTGGATGACAATTCAAAGCAATACGTCATTGAATGTTTGTGGATTGCTCTCGACAGTTTCTATAATAAGGTCTGTCTGCCAGTAAAAACCAGAAGGCGCTTTAGTTTTTATAGCGTCATAAATATTAGTTACAAGCCAGTCAATGTTTTTTATTTCAAAGTTTTTGACGTGGAAAATAAGTTCTGAGAGAAGGGGAATGGTGATTCAAGACTTGGAGCATCACTTGTTCGCTGCTCATGTCACAAATCGACTCTTGAAATGGAAATTGAAACAAGAGAAACAACATTCAACCGATCTCAACTCTCAGAATGAAATTTTTCTTCTGGACGTGCAAGAACACGTCGAAGAAGGAGGAGTACTAACAAACTGCTGTGCCGTTGATGACGAAAATGCGTACAAGGTTTGTGTAACTGTATTTTTTTATATAAAAATGAAATTAATAAACACTTAAAAATAATTTTAAATAACCATACAAAAAAATATAAAAAATAAAGGAAGCGCAAGATGTGGTCGTGGAATCAAAAGTCATAGACGATGACGAATTATTTGTAGCCAAATTTAACGATCTCATCAAAAAAGGTTCATTTGTATTTTTAATTGTTATTTTCAATTAGTATTTCCATAAAATTTTTAACAATAACTTAATGGAAACAGTCTCAGAACTAAAAGGTCCTCCTCCCCACATGAGATTAAGAAGGCAGTCGGCACTGGAGGTGGCCTCGCCGTTGAGCGACTTTAAAAAATCCTCATTATCGGAGGTTGAATCAAAAGAAAATAAGGAGGAAAGTGAAGACGAAGGATGCGTGATTAGGAGAAGCGTCGAAGAGCAATGGAGTGCCGATGGCTGCAGGAAAGATCCCAACGATGTTTGCAAATGTCGCGTCAAAAAAGAGGATAACAACTTTGCTAATCATAACTTGATGAAAATAAAAGAATCAGATACAGAGGAGAATAAACGTGGGACTGGGGCAAAAATATTTCACCTAATAAATGATGATGTAGAAGTGGAAAGTTTTAAAACTGTTGCTAGATGTTTGTCGTACCACGATTTGCAATCAAATATTAAAGAAGCTGGATTAGTGGTGCATTCAAACAGCGATGAGAATAACAAAAAACAAATTGCTGTGAACAATAGTAAGAGTAGCGAGAGTAACAATTTTACAAACGGCAAAGCAGATACTAACATGAAGATGTTGTTGGAGCTCACAAATAATGAACCAACTCATGCAAACAACAAACAATCCAGTTATACAGCACTTTCACACAAAGATAACAAGCCAAAAAAACAAATATCAAACAATAAAATGAAGCAATGCTCAAGAATAAAAAGTTACAGCAGAAAACCAAATGTTATCAACGTCAATCAAATTGCAAAGCAGAAGGCGTTTGTCGATCCCGACACGTCAGCCATCAACATGAGCGTTTTCAGACCGAAAAAAGAAAAGAATGATTCAGGGTGGGTGATTCGCGAAGCCAAACTGCCCTACTTTGAAATCCAAATTCTTGATTCAAAGCAGACAAATTCAGCTCTGAAGACAGAGTCTAAACACGGTAGCATTTATTTAAACAAACTTCAGCCAAACGATTCAGACAAAAACGACACTTTTTTTAAAAAATCATTCAACGAAATAATCCCTACCACCACCCCAAGTGATGCGAACAGTCCGAGAGCAAGAGCAATCTCGAAACGTATCAACGATCAGGAAAAGAACGAAAAAATATCACAAGTAGAACAAGAAGAACAACCTCCTCTTGCCGATAATAAAAAACAGAGTTTTCAACAAGAAAACAAAATAACTTTCTTGAAAAACTCTGAAAAAGATTTTGAAAATAAAAATTCTACAAACAAAAATTTAGAAAATGTTGAACTAATAAGGGAATCGCTGAGTACATCATTAGGCAGTAAAACAAGTTTGCAGTCAATTAAAATGAATATAAAAAATGTTGAAAACAAAGGAGCTAATTCCGGTGAATTTAAACCAGACTTTGCAACAACTATTAGACAAGATGTTGCAACCATTAACAAATCTGTTGAGATGGCAAACGACCTGAAATATACGTATGAAATTAATTCAGCAGCGAAACCTCAATACCAACGATCACAACAAACGCCTCGAGATCAAACGCAAAATGTGCCAACCTCCTTTCATATACCAGCAACCTCATCTCTTTCCATTCAAAAAAACAAATCACCAATCGTGATAGCTGTCAAAACTTCGCCTAATTTCGACATACAGGAAGTAGTGCGAGCCGACAAAGCGAGCAAACAAACAAAAAGAGATTTAAATACGCAGTGCAGAAGCTTGAAATCCATTTTTGGCAAAGAATCACCTGAAGCGTCATCAGCAATAAACATATGCAAAAAATTATGCTCTTGAAATAACATCAACCGGTACCGAACGATAAAGGCTTACAACATCAACGACGAACTTGTATGTTTTATGTCACACCCAACGTTGCAACCAGTTCTTAAATTATGTATATAGCAAGAATAGTTCTTTTGTACATTAACCACTGTACGTATAAAACAATGTAAACTCCCTTAATATTCTTACATGAAATCCTTTGGTTCTGTTCATTCTGTAGATATTTCGTGCATTAGTGAACCAAATCAAAGAGCCCAATTAATTGGAACGTAATTTTTACATCAGACCATTGAAGTAAAGAAAAACGTGTACAATTTTTTTCTAACATAACTGAATAAAAAACCAAAAGAATGCAGAAATGAGTGTAACCTTTAACCTAGCATAAATCATTTTAAAAAAAGAAGAGAAATCGACGTTTAATTGTAATAAAATAGAGTTGTCGTTAAGAGTACACACAAGTAGAAATCACCTAATGGGTTTTTTTTATCTTCTGTAAATGTTTATAGATCAGGCACATTTGAATGAGAGAATAAACAATTATAATTGTTTTAATAATTATTAAAAATGTAAGATTGACGTATGTTAGATAAAAGTAATATCTTCCCAAAAGAATACACATTACACTAACATACATTAAGGCAAGTTGACAAATATCAAATTACGACATCGGTCATTTTAAATATTACAAATATCATAGTAGATTAAAAAACACAAAATTTAAATAAGTAAGTGATTAAGCGCTAAATAAAAACTAGAAATTCTTATTTTACTTTTCCAAACCGGTGCAATTACTCGCAACGTTGCTATCTGATGTGGACATGATAACTCCAGATTTCCTATCATTCCAGACCTGAATGAGATCACTTCTGTCCAACAGCGAGTCCAACTTTTCATCCGACATCTCCGTGTCATCTCTTATCACATCGTCATAATCAGTTTCTTTCAAAATCTTTACAAGTTCATTCAAATCTACAAATTTATAAGAGCTGCCTGTGTTGCTCGTGTCTGCAAGGCCTTCATCCCATGATGACTTGAACTTTCCTTTTTTCGAAGTTATTTCATTAAATGTCATGACAGAGTTTATAGTAAAAATTATTATTTTAATCAATTACTCAACGATAATAAAAAACAACGTTCACAAAATTAACGTCCAATCACGGTCACACAAGGATAATCGCAAACTAAAAGCGAACAAAAATGAACAAACTTCAGAAACGAACCTTTGTGAATGATCATCTTCTCCATCTTCCTCTTGGCATTGGCTCTCTCGACAATCAGTTGGTCGATGGAATTTGCAGCCACCAGCCTGTACACCACAACCGGATTTATTTGTCCAATCCGGTGACATCTATCCTGGGCTTGCAAATCACATTGAGGATTCTGCACAATGATAACAATAAAACCAAATAAATAAATGAGTAATTAATTAATAGAAATAGAAACATTATTGAAACAATATAGAAAACTTCGCGAAACAATCTCATTAAAAATTAACTTACAATAAAAATAATCTTTTAAATCCTATTTTATGTTTTCACAAAACGCGTTTGCAGACCTTAAAAGCTTCAAAACTGAACAAAAATCTCGACAACAAAAAAAAATGTCCTACCCAGTCACTGTCATAAATGATGACGGTGTCCGCCCTGGTGAGGTTGATTCCAAGGCCGCCGGCTCTTGTGCTCAGCATGAATATGAATATGTCCTCATCATTGAACCTCTGAATCTGTTAAAATTAATCACCTGGCGTTTACTAATTATTATTATTATAAATATGATAATCAATGACTTCGTATATTGTATAATTTGAGTGATGAGTTTTAAGTTTTCCATGGCTTGCGAAAAAGCAAACAAATAGTGGCTAATGGTGGTAACGTTACCATGTCGGTAAAGTAATTATTAACATTATCACCAAGCGTACAATACCAAAGCTTTATCTTAACTTTTTAAAAAAATTGATTTATGCAAAAATGAAACACTATTGAATTATTTATGATTTACACCGCTTTACTTATTATTTGCTCACTGCTCAAGGGTAACCGTCTTAATTAAGTAGAGAAATTGAACGTAGAAAACGTTAACAAGCTTAGCTGCAGAACATTTAATAGAATTTTAGGTGAAACTGGTTGATTCAGAGTACAAAGTGGCTGAAAATAACTGCTTCCCTTTCGTTAATTCAATCTCAGTACAAGCCAGATAACTCATCCCGTAATTACAAACCTCGTCCTGTCTGTCATTAATTTTCATGGCGCCATCCAATCTGCAGTACTTGTATTTACGAAACGAGCAATAGTCTTCCAATAAGTTCATCAGCTGCGTACTCTGGCTGAAAATCAACACCTAAGAAACAGATTCACACTCTTTCAATTTTATTAACTAAAGAAATTAATACTTTATCAAACCATTTTAAAAGTAAAACATGGAAAAATAGTTGACTAAAAATAATGAGATATTTTTCCAAAATTTACGTCACATAATCATCACCGAAATGATTAATGAAATGATTGACAACTAACTAACTAACTCTGTGTCCCTTCTGTTTCAGTTTCTTTAGCATTCGATCAGCCAATTTCAACTTGCCAGAACATTCGACAATGTCCTCAGTGGTCAGCAGCTTGCCACTATCATCCTCAAGTCTTGGGTCCTTGATAAGGTAAGGATGGTTGCAACATCTTCTCAACAGACTCAGTATGTTACAAAGTTTCAATGGCTGTTCCTTGAAAACGCTGAAAATTTAATTGTTGTCGTCGGTTCAAACCATGTAGAAACATAATTCTTCATTTCGTCAAGTTTGATATGGAACAAAGCATGCGCATAATTGAATTCGATTTTATTTATTAAAAAACTAATTTTTAATCAAGTATGCTTCATGCACCCACACATTAGTATTGATACACTCTTGCCATCCGCAACAGTTAAGAAATTGTTTCAATTATTCCAAGAAGTTCAATTAGGAACAAGGAGGTATGAAATAGAAGGACAAAACTCACCTGTTCTTATCATTCTTGTTGACGACGCTCCTCAACGATTCAGACTCCTGCCTGCTCTTTATGACCGCATCCACCCATGCCGACAAGCCATCATCATCAACCTCGTAATCATCGTCACCTGGCAAGAAGTGATTGACTGATTAATTGCATCAACGATTATTTAGGTAAACTTGGAATACACCAAATCAAAACAGAATTAGCCAAACATAATGAGCTTCGTTACAAAAGACCATCATGTTGAAAAGTTACTTTTATCACCAACATCATTCTCATCAACATTCATCGGCATCACCACCACCACATCATCTTCGTCGTCATCACCTTTCGCACTGCCACTTTTAGAATCTTCGTCCTGCATCTCATCATTGTCGTCTGCGAATGCCAACTTATAGTTTGCAGATTTCCGACGAGTCGATGCTCGCAGAGACCTACTTTTCATCAGTGTTTCGCAGTCGTCTGCCAATGAAACTTCGTCTGCCAATGCTTCATATGGATCCTTCAGTTAGGATATTGATAACATTATAAGTTTACGCAAAATTTTGATAATTAATGAGATTGGCAAGTTGAATAATTTGGAGTATTTCGCATTTTATCAGATTCTAATAACTGTTATTTATAACTAATCATGAACGTCTTACATTTGGTGACATCATTCATATCAAAAATTTATTATCGTATTTCATAAATTTCGAATAGTCATAATAAACAAGGGAATAGACCGTTAAGATCGTACATACAATGACATGTAGAATTTGCTCAGATTATTAAGAAAAAAGTTTGAGGATATCATGTAACACTAAAATAACGGGTGATGAACAACTTGACTATGTCTCAGATAATACCGATAAAATTTGTTAAAATGTTTTTAATGGTTAACACATACTCATGTTTATGTATGTCTCCAGCGTTGTTTACTCAAAAGAGAAATTTAATGAAAAATATCACAAAGAAATAAAATTTGTTAGATTTCTTTGAAACTAATATGATAAAACAAAACAAACATTATAATGTAATTATATTCTTATATATATATATAATATATTATATAGATATATTATTACATTATTATATTCATTGAGTTGAGCAATGGTTCGGTTGACAATAGATTTGTAGATATTTTTTTGCTTTTCGGCAAATGGAGCGACCACCAGCAGTTCCTTCTTGGGCGGAATCACAATGTCCACGTCGGTCTTCAATCTTCGAAGCATGAATGGAGTCAAAATCTGTGAAAAAATTGAATTTATTTTTAATTAAAATTTAAATACATAAGAATGAAATTAACATTTAAAACTTAAATGATTTGTACATTGCCGTCATTATAAAAGATTTCTAATTTCAATGAAAAAATTAATTATAAAAGTAAAATTTCTAACATTTGAAATTTTTTTTGAAGTGTATGTTTCTGCAACCAACAACAAACATAGATAAATAAATCAGCCCTCATAAAGCGCGGTAGATTACCTGATGAATTTTTGAAAGCGTGTTTGATTTCTGTTCCTCTTGGACGATTTGTTCATCAGCGTTGTCGACATTCTCAAGAAAGTTTACATCAAACCATGTCTCAAAACTAGCGAAATATAAAATAAATCAGTTTCGATATGCTATTAAAAGTATAAAAATTAGAAATGTTTTATTTGCTTGAACAGATGAAATAAGCCCAAGAGAAAACTTTGATCCTTAAAAAAAAGCTTCAATTGTAATTCAGCAAGCTATCACAGCCTTCCAAAAAATCTAGTATCAGCCAACCAACTGACTAACTAGTTGACTGAGCATAACCAAACAGCTAGTCAACTAGCCAACCAACCAGCCAGTCAATCAGCCAATCAGCTAGCCAGCCAACCAACCTTCCAGCATGATTGAATATTTCAGGTATGAGAAAGTTGAGTAGCGTCCACAATTCAGAGAGATTGTTTTGGAGTGGTGTGCCAGTGAGCAGCAGGCGGTGAGGTGACGTGTAAGCATTCAATTCTCTGTTTTGTAGTTGTCATCAACAAATTTTTTACTGAAATTAGTTGAAAAAATTAGAAAATTAATTGCTGTTTTAAGATGCTAGTAACATAAAAATTATGCATCCAACAATTTTCACTCAGAAAAATATTTATGAAATTATTCAATTACTTTTCAATCCATGCCAAAATCACAAAAAAGAAGAAAATGAGCTAACTAACTTGATGAGTTTGCACTTTGAATTCTTAATGCGATGTCCTTCATCGATGATCAGCAGTTGCCACGGTAGTTTGCTGAGGAACCTCTGGTCCTTCATGACCACCTCGTAAGACGTTATCACCACCGGTTTGACGTAAACATTTTGACTCGGCACATGGACGGGTTTATGAATTTTTGGTATCAAGTTCATTCGTTCAGTCTTGTTGCCGTAGTATAGTAAGTATGGGACCTTACAAAGCATTGCATATAGTTTTAACTGTTCCTTTCAATTATTTCATCAACATTTTTTAAAAAAGTAAAAATATTCATAGAAAATCAAGATGCAATACTTTAGCTATTATTGTTTGCTGCCTATTAAAAGATCCCGTCAAGTAAAATTGTTGAGCATTCAAAAACTACAGCATAAATGCCAATGAAGCAATCTACATACATAAATCCTCTAAGACATAATATTTTGATATAATGAATGATTGAAACTACAAAAATTAAATAAATTATTGGATAAACAAACCTCAGGTGCAAAAGTCTTAAACTCATTGGCCCAGTTATAAAGTGTTGAAAGAGGTCCACAAATAAGGAATGGTCCCGGAATATCTATGCAAATGAGATCTGCTATCAGTGAAATGCACTGGATTGTTTTGCCTGTTCATGTGCATTTTAAATTGATTTTAATAAGTTCTCATTAATGAAAATATATCAGCATAAAATTGATATTATATTATCAACATTATTGACTATTTATTGGTTAACTGAGTTTCGATTGCAAATGGTATCTCCATACAACCTACAAATCTATAAAAATTGTGAGCACAAAAAATGATTTTTTTTTGAGTTGTCATGCATGCTTGACACAGGTGTGGAAATTGATGTATAACTGTATATGAATGAAATGAAACGCATTACCAAGTCCCATCTCATCAGCCAAGATTCCATTGACCCCATTGATGTACAGTTTCTGGCGGCAATGTAAGCAATAATTATCAGTGACGTGAAACTTTGGTTGAAACTAATAAATTACAACAACATTCACCTTAACATTCACCTATAATTTTCTACATTGGAAATATTATCAAGATTTTGAGTCTAATATAATGAAGTTTAACTCATGTCTCAATCATAAATCATTTCAAATGCAAATTCGTAATAGCCACAAACACGTTTTAACTAAATCAAATGTTGATAACTATATATTTACCTAATCAAAACACACACACACACATACATATATCTATAAATTATATTGAAGGTTCAAATCCATCTGACAGTACATTTTCCTTCTGTCATTAATCTGATAGCACACAAAATATATATAAGCGGAGAGAGGAGAGAGAAAGTAAGAGAGAAGAAAAAGAACAACAAACAAACGACATTCTAACCATGAGCCAAGAAACTCCATCCAATTGATACTTCCTGAGTGTTCCACCAGACACCAGAACAGGTTGTTTGTAAGTGTTTTCATCAGTATGCACCTTCTCCATAGCATCATCAGAAATCTTCACACCTCCAATGCTACTACTGCTATTGGAATTGATAACAGTATTTTGTGATTTTTTTTCATCATTAAGAGCATCCAACTTTTTATCATCAGCCTCAGATGAATTATTCATGGTGGAATTGCAAAAATCATCTTGTGACGATGGTTGCATTGAAGATGATGAAGAAGAGGGAAGCTCCTCATCTTTTTGACTGTCACCAACTCTTGAGTCCAACCTTCCAGAACTTTGTCGGGCCAATTTACATTCGGGTACCAACTGAAATGAAAAGAACATTTATTTTCAAATAACAAGCATAATATCAACTTATATAACCATTCGGCAAACAATAAATACCAAAATCAAAGAATAATATTCAAGTTGATTGATTTTTAAAAAAATTTACAGGGTGAACAAAAAAGCATTAACCTGATCAACTTCATCATTTTTTCTTTTTCTCGGTCGCCCCCCTAACAAATGCATAAAAGATGGAAGTGAGAATTCTTAAAAGGTGAAGATCAAAAAATGTTAAAAAACAAAACAAAATGAAACAATTTCTCTGTCAACGCCACCATGAAACAGGTTCTATTCAGTGGTAAAAAAGGTGCAATTACGAAGAAATAAATTTATTTAATATTTATAACAATAAACAAACAGGATGAATTGCTCTTACGTTTTTTCACTGAGGAAGAACTTTTGTTATTTTTCAACTTTTCAGCCTGAAGGGAGTAATAATAATAATAATAATAACAATAATAATAGCATTATTTACAATTTTTTTTATAAAATAATCTTTATGAATTGATAAACAGATGATACATTATAAACCAAACTGCATCTTATTCCAATTTTGAAATGGATTCATTTATTTTAGCTATGAATGATTCCGGTGTTTGTTTTGCATTGTAACATTTAGTGCAATGTCATTTTAGCAGGATACTTTTTAGGAATTGAAGTTTGAACAGAAATTTGATTTAATAAAAGTCTGAGAGTTATTTTAAAAATATTAATTTGTATTGGCAAACTTTTGTTTACCTCTAAATTTTTTTTTATAGCTTCATTCTTCAGATCCAAGACAGCAGACAAGTTGATATCATCAATCCTGTTCAACAACATCATGGAGTAACATTTACTTTTCTCAAGCAGGTCGCTCAGTCGTTTGTAGCATTGCATCTGCGATTCCAGCAACTCCTCCTTGCTACTCTTCTGGAAAAATTCAACACAAAGTTATTCAATATTCCAAACAAATAAATTAATTATTAGAGTTTAATTACATTAGGCAATACATATTTTATTCAAATTTGTATTAAACGCTCAACCTTTTTTGACTTTTTAAATTTATATTCTAAATCAGGATCGCTGTTTTCTTTTCCTTTTTTACCTTTGAAATAATTTATAATTTAGCAAAATCATTTTTATAAATTTGTCATTCAAGAAATCAAAAAAAAGTTTTCAAATAAAAACTATTGGATGTAGAAATAAGAAAAAGTAAAAGGAGAATAAGTAGCAGCACCAACCAATGGCTGCAAAATGTCTTGCATCATCACACGAATTGGATTCCTCATCAAACATTCTTACACTTTCCACTCCTCCTCCAAAAGATGTAACAATGCTATCAAATTTAAAATTTTAAATAAATAAAAATGATCAAGAAACATTAAAAATCATTGTCAAGACATGAGAATACTTAATCATTTAAGTATTCTCACATCTTGACAATGATTTTTACATCTTAATGTTAAGGGAAATAGTTTTAAATATTTGAGCATGACATGGTGATAATATGGCAATGAATACAAAATGACAAAAAATTAAAAAATAGCTATACAACCTGTTACTTTCTTGTTCTTCCAAATCCTTCAATTGATCTGTTGACGGATCACATAGCTAATGATGTGATGATAGAGTAAGAAAATTACCCAACATCAACAATAATGGTAAAAAAAGTAACAATCCAATACTAAATAAAATCTTAAAATAGTTTAATTTAAAAATTGTGAATAAAATCAAAATGTAATTAATTACTAATAGAATGCTAATTAATGTACATTAGATTAGTAAATTAATAAAACTAATAATTAGTACATTAATTATTAATAAGTAATTAATTTTATATTTATTAACCACTTATTTCATTAATGATTAATCATTAATTAATTCAAATTAAAAAAATGTATACAACTTTTTAATTTAATATTTAATTAAATTTTAAATTAAAAAATTAATTTCTTACAATACTTACACTCATCATGCCAGTGGATTAGCAGCAGAAATGGATTAATTAATAAAAGTTGTAAAAATAAATAAAATCTTAAATGAACAAAAACAAAGCAACCCAAAAAACGATTGGGTGAGAATCTGCTGAAAATGCACCTGATGATATCAATACATACACTATTACACTGTTATACAGAATATACACACGATATGAATTATGAACGATTTGGTTATAAAATTTATTTGTTTTATTTAATCAAACTTAATTGTAAACTATGACAAAAATTTCGCAACCAAGTCATTTGTTTTATCAGACTTTAGTTTTATGTTGTTTTTTAGACGAGGAAATTATAAAAGAAAAAAACAACGAGTCGAGCAAACTTTTGGTTTCGGGAAAACCGCGAAACTTTAAAAAAAGAATACATGCTAAAAGGCTACATTTAAATGTCATATATTTTTATATATAAAGGTTAAATTTATATATATATATATTTATATAATATTTATCGTTGACTATATATTTTATATTTAATATTATATTTAAAATAATAATCTTAGATTAATTGATTAAAAATATATTTTATATTTACATATTTTGAAATAAAACAAAAATTATTCTTGACATATTTTCTCTGATTTGAATATTTACAAAAATTTTGCTAATATAAGTACAGAGCACTCTTATAAAATCCATTTTGAGTCTGTTAATGATCGTTATTTTAATTTGTTCGAAAAAACTTCCACTTTAATATTATTTTATTTATGACACGACACACAATGATATATATATCAAAAATTAAATGAATTAAGAATTCAAATTTAAACAAAAATTTTGCAAATGTTTTCAAAGAAGCTTTGTTTTTAATGTGATATTTGGCATCTCAATGCCTGCCAAGAAGAGGTGGATGAAGGATTTAATGGCTTGTTCATTTGTATTGAATGTCAAGAGAGTCAACCTATCTCCCTCTCAAGTTACCTTAAGTCAATGTTTTACATATTTGACCACACGCAGGCAGAATGCAAATAATTGCACTTTATATATATATATATATATATATATATATATATATATATATATATATTATTATTATTATTATTACGGAAATTTATATACAGCGCTTTTTTATTGTTGAATCTCAAAAGCGCTACTAAATCATAGACAAATAAGACGGACATTCATTGTGCAAATAAATAAGTTTTAAGTTGACTTCGAAATTGTAAATATGATAGGCTAAGGTCACGTAAGTATGGAGGTAAACCATTCCAAACAGTCGGGCCAAGAACCGCAAAGTTGCGGGAACCCGTCACCAACTTTGTGGTCGGGATAAAAAATAAATTGCGCTCGGTTGATCGGAAGGAATATTTTGAAAAATGAGATTTGTATGATTCCAATCTATCGATGAGGTAGGGAGGTGCTGTATTATTGACACATTTAAACATCAAAACTGCCAACTTGAAGGAAACACGTTTTTCAACCCTCAACCAGTGCAACCTGTTCAAAATAGGCGTAACATGATCGAACCACGAACCACCCAAAACTAGCTTGGCCGCACGATTCTGTATTGACTGAAGCTTTGAAAAAGACCTTTTGGTGGCACCATAAAAAAGGCCATTGCAGTAGTCTAGTCTGGAAAAGACGAAAGAGGAAACCAAGCTTTGAAGAACAGACGTGTTTAGTGATTTTTTGACATTGCGTAATAAACGGAGTTGGTTGGAGCAGACCCTCACTAAATTATTAATATGTAAATCCATCTTTAAGTTTGAGTCAATAATAACTCCAAGACTACGGACAGATGTGGAAAATTCAATGATGTCATTGCCGACACTGATCGATGAAATGTTGACCTTCGACAGCTGCTGCCAAGAACCAACCGGTAATATTTGTGTTTTAGATTG